AGGCGCCAGGTGTGCTTGCTCATGGTGGGCTCCTCCTGGCTGGCGGGTATGCTCAATGCCTCCATCCAGACCTCCATTACTCTGCACTTCCCCTACTGTGCCTTCCGCATCGTGGACCACTTCTTCTGTGAGGTGCCAGCCCCGCTGAAGCTCTCCTGCGCAGACACCTCTGCCTATGAGTTGGCGCTGTCCACCTCGGGGGTGCTGATCCTTGTGCTTCCCCTTCCCCTCATTGTCACCTCCTATGGTGACATGTTGGGGGCTGTTCTACGTGTACACTCAGAGAAGGCCCCAAAAGAGGCCTTCACCACCTTCTCCTCATACATCACAGTAGTGGACCTCTTTTATGGAGCAGCCGTGTCAATGTACATGGTACCAGGCGGACTGTGGGTGGAGCAAATTTGCGAAGGACAGGGGACATCAGATGTTCATGTTTTGAAATGTCAAAATTGAAATGTTTTAAATGGATATTTATCCATATCATATGATTCCACGCATATGAAGTGCCAAGAGTAGTCAAATTCATAGAGAGAGTAGAATAATGGGTGTCAGGAGTTGGGGTAGGAGAATGGGAACTTAGTTTTTAATGGGGATAGACTTTCAGTTTGGGAAAACGAAAAATTGTTTGAAACAGATGGTGGCAATGATTGCCCATCAATGTGAATGTACTTAAGGCCAAGTGTACAGAACTGTATACTTAAAAATGGTTGAAATGGTACATTTTATGTTATATAAATTTAACCACAATAAAAAAGATGAAGTAGCTCAAAAAAATGGAAAAAGATTGTGAGAGCTTTCATATGCTATTTTCACTATCATTATAAAATAATTAGCTGTGGCTAGGATTGTTTAGATAAAAATTTTAACATTAGTACTCAGCAGTCTTTACGAAGATTTCTAACCCAAGACAATACTGACATTTTGGTCGATATAATTATTTGTTGTGAGGGGCTGGCTGTCTTGTGTATATAGCAAGATTTTTAACAGATCCCTGTGATCTACCCACTAGATGGCAGCACTGAATTGTGATAACCAGAAAAGTCTCCAGACATTGTCAGCTGTCCTGTAGGGGACAAAATCAGCCTGACTGAGAACCACTGGAGTAGAACAACTCCATGGGTGCCAGAGTTGATGGTGGTAGTGTTCACAGTATGGCAATAACATGAAAGGCAATATTTTAGGAAGAATAAAACATCAGTTGAATCTTGGAAAGGTTGAGGTGAGGGGCGAGCAGAACATCCCATTGGTCCTATTACCTCAGAGGTCAAATGTGTTGGTCTGGTGATCATCAGTCTCCACGGGTGGCAGCATAAATCAAATAATTGTACAGAAAGAGGGAGAAGTTCCTGTTGAGAGAGTCAGGAGCTAGAAACACAAGCTAGTGCTTGACTGAATCCTACCTAGGATCCTTCAGTTCTCAGTTATAGGGACCCACTGGGTATATGCTCTCACTGGACACAATGCATCCATCCGAACATTAGCCACCACTGTAATCAAATAATTATATAAATAATTATTTGATCAATGACTGCTTCTTACAAAGCTCCATCTGAGCTTTGAAACCCATCGATTCCTAATTCCTTTCTTTATCCTGTATTTTCCAATGTCTGTGTGCAATGTTATACTTTCCAATGTCATGGGAATGTCCCACATTCTCATGTCTTTCAATTAAAATGAAACTCACATGTAGAGCCATACTCCCCTCTGGTTATTACTCCAAACTTTTGGAGAATTTTGTCTACTTGTTACTTCCATTTCCACTCTGCTCACTCTTCCTTCAACCAATTCATCTGGAGTCTTTCTACACCCATCACATTCGCACTCCCTGAGGTCTGCAGTAACCTCATGTGATGTTTCTTATAAATTCTCAGGAATATTTACATTCCTCAAAATGCTTGATTTTTCAGTAGCAACATCATTAATGGTTGCGTTCTTCTTCTGGAAATAGGGACCTTTCTCACGTATTTCATTTTTGTGATAATGGGATTCTGTGGGTCATGTCTATTGGGCTCCT